AAAAAAAAGACGCAAAACAAAGCCAACAAAAGGAAATAAAAGAAAATATTGTAACTAGAAGAAAGCGAGGAGACTTCATAAGCCCAGATCTGATACAAAATTTGCAGTGATATTGCATTTACATTGAAACATCAGGTGTAGAGCGATTGGAATCAGGATCATTACCGGTCTTATACTTCAAGATCAGTTTATGAGCAGCACGTAAGGATTCTCGCAGATCGTCGATTTCTTGCTGGATCTCTTCTTTAGCCATATTCACATTCTGTACTGTACGTCGACATACTTGCATCACTGGAAGGTACAACTCCGTCACTTTCATTTGTACATACCCTAATCCTCTGAACAGCTCGGGTGTGAGCCGTAAAATTAACAAAATTATTCCATCTCCTAGTTCAAATCAGGTTGATCCGAAAGTTCTGTCGTGATTTCGGAAAAATTTGTAACTGTTCTATTTGTGGACGTATTTGTTTACAAAGAATTCCATCAGAAAAGGACATTCATCTATCAATAGCATTTCCCAGGCCCTTGGATGACTAGGGACTCCGGAGATAAATCGAGAACCATTCTGGCTCGCGATTTTCAAAAATATATTGTCAAAATTCTGGAACCCTACAGAAAAATTTGGAAACATGTCACTTACAGCCTATACGTGAGCAGCTCTTTCTAACATTACCAAGTTTGCGCTGATTGAGCTTTTCTATGAAGTTATATTTTTTGTGAAAAATGCAGAAAAAACGGCAAAAAATCAAGGATCAAAACTGAAAAATCAAGAAAAAAATCATCAGAGCCGTAAAGTTTTCATTGAAAAGTAGATGAATTTTTTCTATGTGGAGGAATTTTTTGTAAGCCCATTTTTCAAAATTAAAACCGGATCGAAATCAAAGCGACTGAACTTTCGAAACCTAATATAAGTTCGGAAAACCTCACGGTCAGAGTGAAACTTCTTTCGGTCATGTTTCTTTCCATCTCCTGATGTTAACGCTTTATACATTGGTATTGTGGGCTCTTGGAATACCTGCAA